AGCCTGCAAAATTCATCTGCCTTGAGCAGTTGCCTCCTCTGTGAATGGTTTTGGCAAGTTGTTTCTGGTATAGGGACATGGGGCACCTATTGCAAAGTTCCCTTTTGCTATTTGCCTGTGGTGGGCTGTCCTGTGGGTGGGTTTGCCCCTCCTCCCACAACCCTTGGGTTTAAAAACCTGCCATAGGAGGTCCCCTAGTACCCTGGAACAATTAGTTCTAGAATTACTAGAAGCAGGTTTAAGGAGACATATGGTGGCGATTTTCATATGAATGATGCCCTGTGGCCTTTCCTGCAAACTAAAACCCTGGAACATTTGCTGATCTTTTCCTTAAAGAGCCATAGGGCCAGAGTCTCTGGGTGACAGGAGGGAGCATTCCGAGACGATGGTCCAATTTGTGCTCATTTTGTAATTATATCCAACTGGCAAGTGTCCGCCTCTCAGGGCCTGCACCGCTGAGTGCTTGTTCATGTGTGGTTTCTGTAGCTGATAACCCCCCACGCCATCCGAGTGCAGACACCACCGAGGCACATCCCTGGAGTTGTTGAAGTCACCCTCTCCTACAAGTCTAAGCAGTTCTGCAAAGGTGCTCCTGGGCGCTTTGTCTACACTGGTGAGTATACAGCTCCAGCCTCTGTGGGACAGTGGTGGGAGCTCCTTCTCAGTGGGAGCCTCATGGGGTGGGTGTTCAGGGACCCCATGCGGATGTTCAAGTGAGGCATTTTATCAGGTGCACATCTCCATTTGCATCCAAGACAACTCATGATGGCTGGACAGATACAACAGTACGACCTTGGAATTTCCACCCATGTGAAGGCCTTTGCCTCTTACCAGCAGAGCAAAGTGCTGCATAGAGGGAGCGTTCTTGGTAACTGCAGCAGCTTCCAGCTTCCCAGGGAGTGGCTGCCTCATGCCTAGCTGCATGCAAGGCCTTGTGCCCACCCGCTTGTCAATCAGGCTCATCACTGCTTTTCAGTTGCTTGAGCTGTGACTGGGAAGCAGAAATCATAGCCTGTTACATACCTAGGCTTCCGGTGGAAGCCAGGCCTCTTTGCTGGAGCTTGGGATCTTAGCCCCTGCAGGGTGCTGTTGCTTACAGGGATGACCTGCATTCCAGAGAGTATTTATGTAGTAAGTACATAGCCCAAGCCCTAGTGGGCAGAATGGGTGGCCCGTGTGACTGCCCATAAGTGGTATATCATAGGTGTTTATATGCTGCTTTGCTCACACAAGTGTTTAATTGACATGATTTGCTTGAGATTACCATGGAGAAGTGCCACAAATAAACTTCACCTTAAGGAAGACATGTCTACATTTTGGCTTTTACTCTCAGTCAGTTCCACAAGCTTTAAAGCACGAGGAATGATTTTGATGTAAGACAACACCTGCTGAAGCCCTGCGAAGGTGGAAGAAGGGATGGATGTTTGTTGATTATTTGCAGATGTGCAGTGATGGGGTGACTTCCACTGTAAAGTTTAGACGTCAAAAGAGAGAGAGAGCAGTTCCTCTCGATTTTGAAGCTCCCAATGCATTAAAAAAAATGTGTCAAAAAATGATAAAGATTAGGACATTTTTAAAAAACGTGCAGGTAGGGCTTAGAGCTCTGGACTTGACCACTCTTCTACCACCTGTAGGTGTCCTGGGGCAGAGCTGGCATCCCACTGGGTGCTGCCCTCTGTTCTGTCCAGCAGACAGGTTACATGGAGGGTTCTGAGGCCCTTCCTTCCACATTGAGGTTCCTGGAGATTGTGGAAGTGACAACTTCTTTCCCTTTTTAGGAAGTACTGAAGGAGCAAAGTGGCAATATACAGACTCCCTGCTCCTCAATAGGCCTACCGGGACTCAAGGCTGGGCTTCGATCCTTACCCTAGAGGCATCCAGCTCCTGATAGCCAGCACCCATAACTGGTCCATGTGGGGCACCAGGATCCTTAGAACTGAAGGATACAGGGGAGTGGACATAGAAACAAGTTGATGTGCCATCCACTTTGCACTTCTGTATATTCTTGGCCTCCTGTAAAGTTTAGACGTCAAGAGAGAGAGAGAGCAGTTCCTCTCGATTTTGAAGCTCCCAGTGCATTAAAAAAATGTGTCAAAAAATGATAAAGATTAGGACATTTTTAAAAAACTGTGCAGGTAGTCCCCCAAATTACAACACTTCTGCTTATTTCTGACGTTTTTGGTAGAGGGAAGATGTGCTCACCTCATAGTCACCAGTATGTTTGTTTGTTTGTTTGTTTGTTTGCTTTCAGTATAGCATTCAATAAACATGCAGTTCTACACTGTATTATCAAATGGGCTTCACACTGGATAGTTTCTGTAAGTGCTCTGCACAAAGTGATGGTAGGCTGTGTTCAGAGATGAAGTTCAGTGCATTAAATGTCTTGAATTCACATTCATCTTAAGACATTTTCAATGTACAATATTTCATATTAACCCATAGTCAATTCAGGAACACCAGCATACTCCTTCCAATAAGTGTCCTTGCTGCTCAGCGAAGGACACCCACATTGGATGCCCAGTTCCTGGGAAGGTGAGAAGTTGGAATCCTGTCTTGGGCCTGGTTGGACATCCCCAGCACCTTTGCCTTGGGGTCATGTGTGTGAATGAGCTACAGCCACCCGTCCCCAACCCCCACATTCAATATACCTCCTCAAGGCAGCTGTTGGTGTGGGTATCACCCTTGTATGAGTCTCTAGCCAGGAACTTCAGGCTATAGAGGCAGCAGGCCCTAGGCAAAGACCTAGGATATTTGGCTAGACAGCTCAATGCCCCAGGGTGCTGGCTGTGGGACCATGTGAACTTGAACTCCTCTGAGTTCAATTTTCTCTCCTCTTTTCCTCATGGGGTTTTGGCAAGGATCAAGGACAACTCAAAGTGTCTGACATACAGAGGACACTTAGTAAATAGTACCAGCTGTGGAGAGCTACTGACATTTTGGACTTTGGCTGGGGTCCATGGACCCCTGTTCATGTCTCAAGTCCCTTAGGTGCAGAGATGATTTGCACTTACTCTTATACTGACGCCAAGCTGTGGGAGACATGTCAGGGATGGGTGTACAGAGTGAGTTCCTCTGATGCTCATGTGGCCTGGCTTGGCTGGTGACCACATGAGCAGCATGTGACCCTGTGTCCACTGTGGGCAAGCCTGGTCTGCTCCTCCCATGCATGTCTTCCTTGTTCTCAAGTTTGATTGTTATGAGGTCCTGCTGCATTATTTGGGGGCTGCGCTAGGCAAGTCCTTCCCTGAGTCTTTGTATCCTTGGGCTTTTTGTTTGAGTGTTGAAGACAGCTGCTTTTAGAAGTGGGGGCCTTTTTTTTTTCCATAAGCACTTTGATGGCAAGAGAGGTCCGGGTCCTGCTTTCCCTCCTTTGCCTGCAGATAGGCCCTGGTTTGAACACTTGTGAACAAATACAGGTGTGCAGGGTAGGAGGAGCTGCTTGTCATTGGCTGGCAAGGGGCATATGGTAGCAGCCCCATGGCTTTCCTGGGTAGGTGGGAAGGGCACTCTCTCTGAAGCTCCTTGCTCTCTGGCCAGGTGGAACGCCCCCCTTGACCAGTGTCCATTGCCTCCCAAAGGAAAGTGATGGCTCCAGAGCTTGTTAGAGCCACACAAGCCTTTCTTGAGACTCACTTGAGACTTGAGAAAGTAGTCTTGAGACGACTTTCAAGCTGACTGGACTTGTTAGCCCCTAAGACTCAAGTCCTGCCTCGCTGGGGTTGGGGATTTCCTGCTTTCCCATGTGTAGGCATTTGATGTGAGGCTATATAAGCTCAGCCCTTCCTAGCTTGTGTGTGTGTGTGTGTGTGTGTGTGTGTGTGTGTGTGTGTGTGGGATCATTACCCCAAAACCAGGAATATACATTTCACATGTGTGTAAGGTATACAAGACTCTATATTCTCAGGGAGCTGAGGAAAGGTGGGGTCATAACCTGTCTGGCCTGGAAGCTTCTGTCTGATTTGCATTGCCCTGAAATTGATGGGGACAATGAGGTAATCACAGGGACTCACTCTCCCCAATGAAAACTGAGCCAGCCCCTCTGGATGTTACAACATGGGCGCCGTCCCCTGGGCATCTGGTTCCCATCAGTGTGCCCAGGCCCCGGAGGCTGCTGGGACACCTTCACATTTAACCTTCCCGGCATGAGGCCAGCTGTGGGGCCGCAGGGCCACTGGATAATGAACCTGGGCTTGGAGGAGGGGTTGCCACCAGCCTGCCAGAGCCTGGGAGGGACTTGGCAGAGGTCTAAATGAGCTGTTTACAGTGACCTGAGAAACACCAGATTTTTCAAAACCAGACCCTATTAGTCAACCCAGAGTGGTCGTGCTCAGCCTCTGCCCCCGGAAGGGGAAGACTGGCCAGGCCCCATCCATCCAGCCCCTTGGCTGCTGTTCACAGTCCCTCTCAAGTCACAATTACCTTGGGAGGCTGTGGCGGTTCAGTTGATTAGCACGGTGAATTAAAAGAATGAGCCACAAATGACATGTCCAGCTCTTCCATAGGAGTTCTCTGTATTCCCAGCGAGCCTCACCCCTGCTGTAAGAAGGTCAGAAATTAGAGAGAGAGAACAATTTTCAAGCGGCTAGCACTTAGGAGCAGAATTAACAATCACTGTGTATGTAATTGCCAGTTAATAGTAAATTGCCTTTAGACTGTAAAATGCAATATAAACTGGTGGGCACCTAAAATTAAATTAATGAGATATTTGCTGCATTTAAAAGCGAATAGTTCAAATTAATAACCAAGTGCAATGCTTGTTTTAATATTTGTCTAATAGCATACCATTGACTTGTTTAATAATAATTAAAACAGTCCTGGAATCGCCTACCTGAGGAACTCACCATACAGGAAAATCAAGCAGCTTTTGCTTTCATCATTTTACTGGTGCAAACACACCAAATTGTTAAGAGTAATAAAAGAAATTATTTTTTAATTAGAATAGAAATGTTATGGCATTACCTGATTAAGTAGGCTTGGAATTTGTATGCTTCTAATTGAGATTATGTCCTCATGAACTCCTTTTGCAGACCTGTTTTCAAGTGTGAAGTGTATGGTGTGTGTGTGTGTGTGTGTGTGTGTGTTTCCTTGAAACAGACATTTGGCAGAAGGTTTCCTGATTAACAAAAGAGTGGAGGCTGCTGGTGTGACTTGGGTGTAAGCCTAGTTCACAAGACTCCAGGAATGGGACTTGGGGGCTTTTTCTGTTGACCTCTTGCCCTGAAGTTTGATTGACCCACCTTCCTTTTAGAGAGTTCTTTTTTGCTCAATTAAAGAAATTATCACAAATTACTGGGAGTCAACATGTCGCCAGTAACAGACTGAGCACAGACACTCAACAAGATGTTGGCAGGCAGCATAGACACATGTAAAGTGGACGCGCGGTGGATACCTGGAAGGGCCCCAGGTCTGTGATGCATTCATTGGATGGGAACATTTTCATCAAGATGTGTGTGCATTTGCTGTTAGGCTTGGGAGACCATCCCTTGGCCAGGAATTGCAAGCAGTTTGTGTTCTTTCTCATATTGTTTCTAGGTTTGTCTTTTCAAATAGAGGTCAGGTTTGTGCCTTAAAACCGGCTGCATATTGAGGGGTGTCAGTTCTACCCTGCACCTG